ACAAGGTGACAAAATTCAGTTTAACTACGAATATGAGAGTGCATTTGTATAATGATATCAATGCCTGAAACTATGCTGACACACTATTAAAAATTGGCGATGGGCGGTTGGAAACGGATGCTGAGGGCTGCGTTAAATTGACGAGAGATTTTTGTAATTTAGTACAGAGTCATTCCGAATTAATTGCGAGCGTTTATTCAGATTTAACGAACAACATGCATGAAGACAAATGGTTATGTGAAAGGGCAATCTTGCACCAAAAAATGAGAGTGTTAACAAAATAAATTCAGATATATTAAGCGAAGTAGCAGGAGAAATAACAGAGTATTTGTCAGTAGACACAGTTATGGACACAGAACAGAGCACTTCATATCCCGCAGAGTTTCTAAATTCTCTAGAGTTGTCAGGTGTGCCCTCACATAAGCTTTAATTAAAATTAGGCGTCCCAGTCATGCTAATGCGAAATTTAGATGCTCCTCGGTTATGTAACGGGACAATGCTGCGTGAGACACATCTTGGACGGAACATAATCGGTGCTTCAATTTTGACAGGCGTAGGAAAAGGTGAAAATGTTATTATACCACGGATCCCTATAATTCCCACAGATCTTCCTTAAGCTTAGTTTTGCAATGACAAAATAAAGCGCAAGGGCAAACGTTACAGGTAGCGGGGGTCAACTTAGAAAAACCGTGCTTCTCTCATGGTCAGCTGTATGTAGCATGTTCGCGTGTGTCAAATGCCCAGAATCTCCACATTCTTTCCCCGAATGGAAAAACATATAACATTGTGTACAGTAGCGTCTTAAAATAGTGTTCAGTTAGTTTTTTTTCCAAAATTCCCACAGTCAATTAATCAGAATTCCCACAGATCTTCCCGGTCAATTCAAATTTTTCTAGTTAGCTCAGTTTCTTTTCAATTCCAAATGCTGCACCTCTGACGGACATATAGAGCTCAGTTTCCTTTCAACTCAAAAAGGCTGCATCTCTGACGGATCTTTTATTTGGCTCAGTTTCCTTTCAATTCAGAAAACTGCATCTCTGACGAATCAATTTAGCTCAGTTTCTTTTCGAAAGTCTGCATCCCTGACGGATAATTATGCTCAGTTTCCTTTAATTTAAAAAAAATATCCGATTTCCATTTGGAATAAACAGGCTATTTTCATGTTTTCCTATACGCTGCGTTTCAAAACATTTAAATAGGCTGACGAATCAATTTTACTCAGTTTCCTTTTAATGGCTGCATCTCTGACAAATCTATAAAACTCAGTTTTCTTTCAATTCAAAAAGCAATGGATAGTTCATTTCCCAGTGACTATGCGGGCGAAGCCGCGGGTAACAGCTAGTGTTATTATAAAAAATATTTGTTTTTACATATACAACAGTAGTTGTATGTAGACGCGACCTGTTTAAGGAATCAAGTGACAGGTCAATCAATGTATGAAAAGTGGGCATGATTCTTTATCAATTAAATTGTAAATTTAATTTCACACCTTTGTATCCATACAAAATAGTTATAATTCAATAAAAATGATTCAATTTTATTCATGAAAGTATGCAATCATTTCATCAATGTTTTTTATGACTTTGTCACGTTAAACTCCGTTCTTAAACCGACTTTACAGACGACCAATTTTTTTTGAAGTTTATTTTCTTTCTGTATTTGTATAAGGAAAAGTCATTAATGGCTATATATCGTACATTAATTGAATATTCAGCAGGCGCTTGACGTAGTTCAGTGACATTGACGGAATTCCAAGTTCAATAGAGGTCGCAGAATCGGGGTCAACACTAATTTATGCCATCTATTTCACAATGACTGTCGTCCTGTTTTTAGGTCTCACTCGATGATGGTATTTGTAAGGCGCAAATTATTGTGGCAAGTTCGAAAGTTGGCCTGAAAGAATTCAAAACAAAAATAAATAAATTATTTCATTCATAATTAAAGATAACTATTACTAAAGATTGATTTTAAAAACTTAAATTGCTTATGAATTTTGTTTTTTTTTTTACGTGGTAGAGCCACGCTGCAGCTATATTATGCTTGTAGCATGAATGGGTCGGCTCAACCGGGGAACGCCCTCACAGATTCCCAGCGTAATGCTGCTGTGTTTCGTATGGTGAGTGTAGAGATCCGGAGGCCCTTTTTTAAAAGAAACTAGGTATTCCATCTTAGTTCTCAGCGGTGGCAACGCATCTGAGTTCTGACTCTTAATAGAGGATAAATGTAGATGTCTATGAGCCACAGCATCCACTTACCATCAAGGTGGACTATGCGCTCATTTGTTACCCTTATTATAAAAACATATTTATAGAATTTATATATTTGTAATGGTTAAAACCGTTAGAAATTTATAAATTCAACAATAACTTTGCTGATAATTTTGCCGAATATTGCTAGATATTTTTCAACTGTACGTCGCTTGCTCTCGCGTTACTAACCCAGATAATTTATTTATGTTAGTTACAAACGGAGCAATGAATAACATTGTTTACAAAGAATATATATTGCTTGCGGTCTTTTTGATGTTTTTTTGTCATCGCAAATACGAAAACTTTGTTAACAAGCAACGCGGACGAAGTCGCGGGTATCAGATCGTTGAAAATCAGTTAAAATGAACCCGTTAAACAATTTAAAATATGCAAAGTCGGCCTCAGGTTATTGAACTTCTGTAGTATTATTTTTTTTTTTTTTTTTTTTTTATAGGATAGGGTGACAAACGAGCACACAGTCCACCTGATGGTAAGTGGTTGCTGTGGCCCATAGACATCTACATCTATCCTCGATTGCGAATCAAAATGCAGATGCGTTGTCACCCGTGAGGACTAAGATGGAATGCCTCGTTTCCAGTAAAAAGGGTCTCCGGTTCTCTACACTCACCATACGAAATACAGCAGCATTAAGCTACTATTTTACGCTGGTATTCTGTGAGAGCGTGGTCCTTCCCCGGTCGAGCCGACCCATTCGTGCTACAACTATACTACTAATATAACTGCAGCATGGCTCTACCACTCAAAAATTATTAATTATTGCATGCATTATTAATTATTGCCCCAATGCGTTTTAATATTTATGTAAATTTCCATTTTATGCATAAATAAGCACCTATAAGGCGATACACGGTGCGTTCAGCAGAGCGAGCGACGCAACGGCACGTTTCGGCATCGCTATAATTTCGCTGCAATGTGTGCCATACTGAACGGTGTAATTGCGGTGTAAGAATATCTACTAGCCCATATCGTTTTTTTATTTTCTTTCTACCTCTATGAAAATGAATGAAAAAAGACCCTTTTGTCTTCAACCATTAATATCTCAACAACCAGTGACCCTACCGAAAATTGAGAGGCAGTCGAAAACTGGAATAATTTTGACGAAACATTTGAAGAATTTTTTTTATTTCATTCGCAATTAAAATTTCAAAAAAAAAATGACTTTCTCTAGTTTTGATAAAACTGCAAATTATCTTAGCAAATACTGATAGGAAAGCTACGGTTGTCACGAATTTTTTCACCTCAATGGGGGTACATTGGGGTATAATAGCCCTGTAAATTTGCAGATCGATACATCGTGCGGTTTTTCCGAACCGAAATATTTTTTTTTCAAAACTGAATAATTTGCCAGAGTTGCGACGCTTGGCAAACCACGGTTTTTAATTTATTGGTTACTATTCTTAATTTATGTAACGTAACTATTCTTAATTTAGGATAGATCACAGTCACAGCATTAATTTACCATCAGGTGAACAGCGTGTTCGTTTTCCAACCCTATGCCTGACATTCCCGAACAAGTTTACCGTAAAGTTAGCAGTGGACTTGACGCTTGATCGAGGAAATTCGATCGTAAGGCGGGTACTACTTGTATTAAATTCAATAGTATTATATTTTTTAATTCTGTTAGATTCATCAAACTATTCGTAAGATTCGTAACAGATTTATACTGTAGCAACAGCATCAAGTTCCGTAAAGGAAGCCGATCAAAATACAATCAATGTCACATAACGATAAGATCAATTGCAAACCGCAAGCCGTTGCGGTTATTGCTAAAAACATTATATTGATTACATGATTTACAACTTGCAATCCTATTAGTATTACCAATGAATGTTTTTTTTTAATTTGAGTTAAGTGGCAAAAATGCACATAGCCTAATTTATAAGTGGCCATTGCGTTAGTCTAACTGTATTCTATTTTAACATTTTAACACTTCGATGTACACAGAAGTTTCAACTAAGTTTGGAAAAGAAAAATGCGACGCATCGGCAGTGTGTATATTACATATTAATACGAATAACTTCCATCCAGTTTCGAATACCCCAAAACTCAAAAACTATTAAACCAACACACTTCTGATTTTGCAGTAAGGGCACCTGAATACCAAATGGGTTGGTCAAGGCAAAACTTTGGACTAAGCTCCATAGCAGTTCTATCAGTACATTCCTATATATCCTTTGATATAAGACACTGCTATGAGCTCGGCACCTGTTTAGATCTTAACTTTTTATGGTAAGCCTAAAATCATGAATGTCGTTCTTAGTTTGACCCCCTTTTTGCAATTACGTTTTTGTTGGAATAATATAAGTATACTAGGGGATGTTTTTTTATAAATTAAAGGGGACAAACGAGCGCACAATCCACCTTATGATAAATGGATGTTCTGGACCATATCCATTTTTATAGAATAAGATAGAAGGCCCTGTAAACACCTACGTCACCCCTAAGGACTAAGATGGAATGCCTCTTATCTCGCCCAGGTTCTCTACACTCACCATACCTTAGTATATATATTTTACGCTGATATTCTGAGAGAGCCTGGTCTCCCGGGCGAGCCGACCCATTCGTGGTACAACTAATATAGCTGCAGCTTGGCTCTACCACATATTAATCATCATGATGAGTGCATCAGTATTCCACTGCTGGGAATGAACCTTTTAGAATTCAGAAGATGCTCATATGCAGATGACCCGTCACTCTGACATTTAATAATAGCGAATCTGTGATTTCCAGGTGATGTTTGAACGTATCCTTTATATATGGGCGATACGTCACCCGGCATCGGGCTACGTTCAAGGCATTAACGACCTGGTGACTCCATTCTTCATGGTTTTCCTCCAAGAGGCCGCGCCGGGGAAGGAGCTCGACAACTTTCCCCTTGACAAGTTGAGTGAAGAGCAGCGAAATATTATAGAAGCTGATTCTTTCTGGTGCTTGTCGAAGTTCCTGGACAGTATACAGGATAACTATATTTTTGCACAACTTGGTATACAGTATAAGGTAAGTGGAAACTATTTTTATGTGCTCAGCTTTACCTTTATCATTTATTTTGAAAAAGTGGAGGGTAAACGAGCTTGCGGTTCACTGATGGTAAGCAATGCAAAACATCTGCACCAGCGGTCAATCTACCCAGAATTAATTTATAGTATCTTGAAGTATTACAGTGGTGTCCTTAGGGTTGCCAGATGGTCGGGATTTATCTGGATTCTCCCTACATTTTAAATAATCTCCAGACTCCCGACAAAACTCAAATCTCCAGACAAACAGCTACCCTTCACATCACAGCTGCCTTTGATTTAATAAAAGCTGAGTTTAATTTGAGATTAGACTGAACTTTGAAGTAAATTGTTTGAATTTTAAATCTTTACTGAATTCTAAAGGATCCAAATTGGTGGACTCAGTAAATTTCCATACCAAATACATGTGACAATCTAAAAATTAAGTGTAAGTACTTAAATTAGTTATGTGTCAACAAAGTTAAGTTTTTTGTAGTCTATTCATTTAAAATGTAAACTTTTTCTTTTAAATTTTATTTTTAATGTTTATTTCTCCCGAGAAACAACCACAAAATTCCGACATATTCAAATTTTCAGATATTTTGGTCATCCGATTTGACTTCCCTAGGTGTGCTTCAATTTGGATTTAACTGACCCTGTAGTGTAAGGCTATCGTACAGTAAAACCTAGTTAAGGGACCCTCTATATGTGAGAAACCTCTGTTTGATAATTACAATGAGGTCCGACACTTTTGTATTGAAATACCTGCGTTATTGTGAATTTTCAAACCATGTTAACTGAGATTAGATTTGATAGATTTCTTTTATGTTTACCCCTATAATCGGGACTTCGTATCTCAATAACCCGTATAAGTGAAACAATTTATCAGGTTTAAACAAGTTATGACACGCTTGCTTACAATAAAATTTACACTTTGTTTAAAATATGCATTTCTTTTATAAACATTTCCACCTCTTTATATGATAAATGGTACATTTCGACCTTTCATAGGACCCTCTATAAATGAGGCAACTGTCATGTTAACCTGCCTATTTGGAAAACTGGGTAAATGAAAAGCCTCTGTAAGTGATTGTAGCGGCGCTGTCGTCGCGACGACAATGAAATACACCGAAGTCTAAATCACGCTATCAACATTCTGAATCATAAACAGTATATATAGAACATCTCCGAACTATCACATGGAGTGTTGGCCGCTCCCCGGGCAGAACACCCTGCCCGGCGGCAGATCTCCCCGTTTCCTCTGCCCCTCACACGCAACCAAACAACCTTCGGAAACTTCAAGCTTTATCATCGTTATAGAATACCCCACCCATTCGCTCCCGAACAGATATCGTCTGCAGTCTTCATATCCTGCAAGCCATCTAGCTTCACAAGGTTCATCGCAGCACTGGAATAATAATGCTTCCTGTTCCTTCAAGCTACTCTCTGCGCTATACAGTGTTCGGCACGGCTCTGAGCCGTACTGCTCGCCTCTGCTCCACGGCACTCTCGCAGATTACTTGCCTTCTTCTCGACTCACCGCAGACTACAAGACAATCCACTGGCACTTGCACATTCGTCGGAAACGAGGCTGCATTATCGACCTCCGGTCTGAGCAAGGGGGTGATGTAGCGGCGCTGTCGTCGCGCCGCAAATGAAATACACCGAAGCCTAAATCACGCTATCAACATTCCGCATCATAAACAGTATATATAAAACATCTCCGAACTATCACATGGAGTGTTGGCCGCTCCCCGGGCAGAACACCCTGCCCGGCGGGAGATCTCCCCTTTTCCTACCACGGCCACATGATAAAAAAAATAAGGTTCCTTGAGATCCCAGTTAACCAGGTTTCATTGTATTGATTTGTACAAAGACATTTAAGTAGTAGTAATAGACCAGACATCAGCAACAAAGTTGCCCTCCGTAACTTTTGTCCTATAGGATATATCTCCGATTTTTGTTATTTAGTCTTAGTGGCATCGTCAGAAGGTCAAGAAATCGTCAAAAATATTTTTAAAGAAAACATGCCCGTTTTTGAATTATGGTATTGTAAGTTACAATATGGAGCAAAAAATGAACGTGATTTCGGTTTGTTATCGTAAGAATAATGTATATTTACCAAATAATCTTTAGATTTTATTTTTTCTAGTAGAATGTTCTAGAAAAAAGAAAAGTTATTGTAATAAGTGCCCTCTGTTATCCGGTAATGTCACCATTTATTTATCAACGTGTTAGTGATTGACGACGTGCCTAAAACGAATTTTTACCATATATTTAGTAGCGTCTTCTAATGGGGAATAGCTAAAATGTTTTCCAAATAAATATTCTGCGTAGTATTGCTATGTTTCACTAGAGGGCGTAACACACGCGCGAGCTCACAGTTTTTTTAGTTTTATATATATATATATATATATACAGAATGGGTCCCACATATATGCAATAAATGAAACCATATACTTGTTATCGCCTTTGCTGACGATATACAAAAAATGAACGTAATCGGTCCAGTAATTAGGTCAAAAAGTAGAGTTTTAATTTTAAGCAAATTTGAACACTATAGAATTGGGTCACTAAGTCAATGATTCAATGAACTTGAATCCTCGAACATTAAAAAGCGACGTTGCCACGCAGTGCAAACTATTGGTATTGCGACGTATCGACAGCGGTGTCTTTTGTCGGCGTGCCACCCGCGTGCAACGTTGTCACTCTTCCAAGGGGTCAAGGTACGTTGTCTAAACAGAGTGTTCACTTTTACTGAATTTATTTTAATATTTATTTTGTTTGAAAATTTCACTTTTTTATTTTACGGCTTTTAATTTAATATTTAATTTTTCTACACTTCTACGGACCCATTCTGTATATATATACTTAATTTATATATTTAAATCTTTTTGGATTTGTATTACGACAAACATAACCCATTACATGATATAATACGTAGGTGAACCTTATGAGTAGTACATCGAGTACAAACCCATTGCATTGCACATTGCAGCACCCAGTTGTCTTCTCTATTGAAATTATGAGGTTTTTATTTTCAATAGCATCGGAAATCATTCTTGTCCAAGACTTCCAAGATATTATCTTATCACAAAACGTAATTTATAATTGGTCTCAGGCTCTTCTGTTTCAGTGAAAAAGTCCCTTGGAAAATATGCGTACTGAATTGTAAAGTATGGAATTTGAAATGAAATGTCAAATTTTGCGAAGACTGTGCTGCCGTGGCTAAGGGGAAGTCCCTTTGCCATGGTTCGTGGTAAAGACTTTGGCGGGTTGGCAGCCGCAGTTTTTTTTACAATTTTTAGTTGTTATCAGGAGACACTGCCCATCTCCTGTTTCAGTTTCCCCCAGTCGCTTCTTACGACACCCTTGGGATGATTTGGGAGGGGGGGGGGTAGTGGATATTCTTACACCGCCACTACACCGTTAATTCTTACGCAAACAGAAACAGAAACTTTTTTATTCAATATAGATTACAAACAATACTTACTGAAAGTCACTTTTTTTCATTTACCACCGGGTCGCAAAAAAACCTGTCCTGGGAAGAACCAGGAAGAAATCCAGCGGGACTATTTTTTATCATGTAACAATTAACAACAATAAACAAATTAGAAATAGCTAGGTGGCGATCACCCATCCCATTGGTTATTATCCATAAATTCCTTAATACATATTATAATTTTTTTTTGTTTCCAGGTAAATCAGTTAAAAGAGCTGATTCGACGCATAGATCTCCCGTTGCACGAACACCTACAAACGCACGGTGTGGACTACCTTCAGTTCTCCTTTCGCTGGATGAACAACCTTCTCACAAGAGAAATACCTTTGCCCTGCACCATTCGTCTATGGGACACGTATTTAGCGGAGTCGGATGGTTTCGCCATCTTCCAATTATACGTTTGCGCGGCGTTCCTCCTTCACTGGCGCGAAAAATTAATGCTCGAAAAGGACTTTCAAGGATTGATGATATTACTCCAGAATGTTCCGACACAAAATTGGACGGACTCGAATATAAGTGTTTTGGTAGCGGAGGCGTATAGGCTGAAATTCGCTTTCGCTGATGCTCCAAATCATTTGCACAACGCGGGAAAATCGGACAGATGACGTGCGGCTCCCATTTGATACAGTCAAGCGATTCTCGCCTTAAAATCAAAGGCGTCACCTTCTATGTTGGTATAAGCGAAGGGTTATAATATTGTATGTCAAACACCTTTAAAGTGTGAATGGACTGAAGAGGCCAGGGTATTCAAAATGCAACTTTATTACATTGCGTTTTGATTCCAATTTGAATAATTTGTTAGCTTTGTATAATGAAGAAGGCCTAATTTAAGTGGATTACAAGTTTAGCCTTATGGGTTTACACCCATTGTGTAAAAAGCGTCACCTTTGGTTTATTTTAATATTTTTTGAGACTTGTGTATTATTTGATTTTATTATTATGTTATTTGACTTAGATTATTATAGCACAGTATGTTTATAAAGTGTTTTATTATGTTCTTCCAAATGTCATGAATTCTAGCACTCCACTGACCTCTATATATACAAGTACGCTGGACTGGCTATACACTGTGACATGGTGAAGCGATTTGATTTCCGCCATTTTGGCGCTCACAGCAGAAGTGCACGTCCACGGAACTAATACTAGGGATAAGACAGTGTACCAAATTATATCGATAAAAATTCTATACCCTACCTATACCTAAATAAATAGAATGGACTCTATGGATAGATGGACTCTACCCATAACGTCCGTTCTATTTATGTATCATATTAATATAATACCATTATCATTCATCATCATTAAAACCCTTCACAAATCCACTGCTGAACATAGGCCTCCCCCAAGGAATGCCACAAAGCACGGTCCTGAGCTACCTGCATCCATTAACTTCCTGCATGTCTTACCAGGTTTTGACTCCATCTAGTGGGGGAACGTCCTACACTTCACCTGCCAGTACGAGGCTACCACTCGAGAACCTTTTTTTCCCATCGGTATTCGGTTCTGCGAGCTATATGACCGGTCAAATGCCGCTTCAGCTTACTAATCCATTGGACGATGTCGGTCACTCTGGTTCTGCTGCAGATATCCTCATTCCTAAGTTTGAAACCCTGAGCATAGCCCTCTTCATAGCTCGTTGAGCGACTTCGAGCTTCCTCATACGGCCAGCAGTCATGAAAGACCTCGTCTCAGATCCATATTTCATCACTGGCAACACGCATTGGTTGTACAATCTAGTTTTGAGGTATTCCTGACGAGAAGATGTGTTGTAATCTACCGAACGCTGCCCAGCCAAGTTGAATCCGTCGATTGACCTGTCGTGATCTGACAGGTCAATCGACGGACCTACCTAGTCGGACTATTTGTCCCAATAAAAATTCTCATCAACAACTTCAGCTAAGTGCTCCCAAAAACCACCGCCATAGGTGTGACATGGACATTACACATGACTTATGTTTTGTCCATGTTCATCTTAAGACCTATCCGTTGGGAGACACTATTGAGGTCATTGAACATAATGCGTAGGTCCTCCAGCGATTGTGTCATAAGGACTATATTGTCGGCAAATCGAAGGTGAGTGACGTTCACGACATTGACGTTAATACCGTATCCTTTCCAGTCCGGTAGGTAGAAAACGTTTTCCAATGCAGCGGTAAAGTATTTCGGAGATCACACTGTCTTACACATCTCTACAGTTGGATTAGTTTTGTACTACAAAATAAAAATAAAAACATAATTTCTAGAATAATGTATTGTCAACCGTTCATTTTGTTTTAGTATTATAAAAAACAAATCAGCTGCTATAATAACGCCTATTCTAATCAACTACACGTCTGTCTATTGACAGTAAAATATTTTCTACTATATAAAAATTTATGTTTGTTCGTACTTTCTACGATGCCATATCGTTCATCAGATTGCGGTAAAACTTAGTCAACTTATTGGTTGCACTTATGCGAGGGTTACACGCATGGTACAATTAACTGAGACTAGGTGGCGTGCGTATTATACTGACTATTTATTTGAAAGTTATAGAAAGTTATATATCATTATATTTCAATGATTGTATTATCATTCCTAATTAAACAATATAATAACTGTTCCACATTTTTAACGATATTTCCAAAATTATTTCTTCTGCGGCAGCAATGCGCCGGGTACGAGCTAGCAAGATAATATAAAAAAAATATAAACTTTGAATTACATAGTTATCAGTTATTTACAACGACATTTTCGAAATTAAAATTACAATATTAAAAAAATAACTGAAATTATCAATTACCGAGCCCGATATGTGAATGGAGCCAGGGAAAAACGAGCACTTGGAAGCATCAAGTGGTGCAGCCTCACCAAAGTCGCGAAAAACAGTCGAGTGGCGCATCGCCAATCGCCATACCAACACTCCTCTTCCCTTACGAATCCACCTCGACTACAGCGATACAGGGAGAGAAATCTCCTCTAGCCGCAGCCCACTAACATACATCGAACGTGGTTTGACATCATCAGGCGACCTTTCGACACTTGGCTATGGCCCTTGAGTTTGGTGGAAAATGAGGAAAGAAGAAATTAAAAAAAAACATTCGAAATAATAATCTAATACATAGTACTTGATAGTTGGTAGTGCTTGGTACTGGTACTACCAGAAAATATTGTCGGTATACTGCACTTTTTCAAAGTGGTGCAGTTCTCATGTCTAATAAAAGTCGTCTGTGAAATGTTTGGAACAAATATGATCATTTTGTTTCAAACACCAATTCACAATATTTATGCTATTAAGCCATAACATTGGTCTAGGTTCAGTTGAAAACCTTTTAATTAATAAACATTTGATAATCATCTGTTGTTGGTGACTTTGTTTGTTAACAGATATGAGTAGGAAAGAACATCGATAAGTATTATAGACACGGAACTCGACAACCCTATTGAATTTTATTGTTTATCAAAACTCAGTAATATACAGCCAAACATGTTTTTATATATGATATTAAGATTAGTAACAAATTTCTAAGTACTTTTATTATCAAATAGTTTTAATTTGTTTAATATTTACTGCAAATTCACTTACTTGTGAAATGTTACACCACTTCCCTTTTGGTAACGAGTTTTACAGATTACGCACCCTCTCATTATTATTAAAATAATTCTTATTATGTAACTAATATTATACACAATCAAACAACATAAAATACTTTCGTTTTTTAGTTTAAAAGTTCAAAATACAGACTTATTAAATATGACAATATGAATAAGACAACAGACTTTGGCATATTATGTCAATTTTATTTTTCAAGACATCCTTTAGCGGCGCTTCAAATTGGCACAGTCATTTTGTATGGTATAGCCAGTCCAGCGTACTTGTATACAGGTCAGTGTAGCACTCTTATAGCAATGATGTCACAGTTTGTATCACAGGCAGGTTAGGCTGTAGTTATGTGTTGCGTAAACTTAGCCAAGTTGATTTTTTCCAGTCGTCAAATCTAATAGAAAACTATACAAAAAATAGGGAGCCGGTGTTAGCTCAGATGGTTAGCGCTCGGTGTTAATTTCTCTTTATAATTGTTAATACAAACTTTATTGTTGCAATCTTAAGTGCTGATTTACCAAGTCCTGGGCGGTGAAGGAAAGATCGTAAGGAAACCTGTATGAGTCTGAGAAATAAGAAAAAAAAATGTTTCAAAGAACACATGTGAAGTTCGCCAATACGCATTGGGGCAGTGCGGCGGACACTTCCTTGCCCTAAAACCCTCTCAGAAATGAGGCGAGGCCTGTGCCCAGCAGTGGGACGTATATATCCTAACTATAACTTTGATAGGCATTACGAATGATGAAGTTTGTTACGTTTGGTTCGAATGCGTGAGATGTCGACAACAAAGGAATGGAGACTGAGCATCTGGTTGATTTGCTTTTTGGAGCTGGTTGTAATGCAATTGCATAACTTCTTTCAATTACCTTTATTAATTAATAGAACGTTTACATTTGACCAATATAATATAGTGCTACGCTAGTCATCTATGTTAATGATGACTTAACTGCCTCTTTAGTCTAGTGGTCATAAGCGCGATTCATTTTTTTATAGCATTGGGTGATAAGAACACAGTCCACCTGATGGTAATTGGATGCTGTGGCTCATAGGCATCCACATCTATCGTCAATTAGGAATCAAATATGCAAATGTGTTGCCAACCCTTAGGACTAAGATGGAATGCCTCGATTCCAGTAAAAAGGGTCTCCGGTTCTCTACACTCACCATACGAAACACAGTAGAGCATTACGTTGCTATTTTACGCTGGTATTCTGTGAGAGCGTGGTCCTTCCCCGGTCGAGCTGACCCATTCGTGCTAGAACTACAATATAGCTGCAGCGTGGCTCTATCACGTAAATAATCATAATCATGAGGTCGCGAGTTCGAATCCCGAGTCACCCCCGTCCTTCGAAAAACACGTAAAGATGTAGGACTCTTTATTGATCTTGATCTCTCTCCGGTCGTGTCAGGTTGCCGTTCTATCGGAATATGAGTGTGAGAGGATACAGAGGGCACCTGTGTTTGTATACACTCGTGTATTATAATCCTATTTTGAGTCAATGGTTCGTCTTCGTTGCCGGCATTCGGTCTAGGGGACATTATTCTCTGTACATTACCATAGAAAAAGCCTGTTCACTTTGGCCTTGAGAAGGCCCTGATAGTAGTGGCCTTTAATCTTACACAGGTAGAGGTAGTTGTAGGTATAAATTCCTAGTGCGCAAAATACAAACATAAGGATGGTGTCAAATCGTGTCTCGCGTTAAACCTCTTGATAGCAGCTGCAGACAATTACAGCTGGTGTAATGTCTGTAGATTGAGAGAATATAACAATTGGTAACATAAAAGAAATGTAAAACCGACTTCAATATAAATAAAATGAGAACATCATCAATGTACTCGAAGTCAATTAAATACGCGTTATTAAGGATAACTCGAAAACTGCTGGTCAGATATTGATCAAATTTATATTGGACCACGTGAGAAGCGCCAGCTTTCAATAAAAATAATCATCAAAATCAGTTTACCTAGAAAAAAGTTCTTTACAACCTCCTCCTTTTTTGAAGTCGGTTGATAAAACGGGGA